GGCCACCTCGGAGCAGAAGGACTGGTTACATGGCTGACCTGAAGAGCGAATTCAAGAGTGAATGTTCCAACATGATGAACATAACGAATGTCACTGAGGTGTACATGTGCAGACTGTAGAAATAGCAGATGTTTTGGTACCCATATATTTACCACGGTTAAATAAAAAAGAGACAGACAGAATGTTTCCATGAACAAGTGTGTTAGACTGGGTTCTCTAGAGAAACAAAACCAGTAAAGCTTATATATATAGAGAAAAAGAAATTTATCTTAGGAAAATGGCTCACACATTTATAGAAGCTGGCAAGTCCCAAGGTGTTGGATCAAATGTCAAGCTGGAGGCTTTTCCCAACTCACACCGCTGCAGGGGCTGAGGAGCTCAAGGTTGGCAGGCAGTGTACTGGCTGTTGACTCCAACCAATGACGAATCCAAGATCTCCAGGCCGAATAGCGGATTGTTTGCTCACGGACAGTTGTAGGCAGCAAGCACCACAGAATCCTGATCCACAGAAGAGTGTCTCTTTTCCCAGGATGTCCATAAATATACTGGAAGCAGACCACACCCCTAAGGAAACTCCCTTTCAGTGGATTGGCTGCTCAAAACATATACCTCTGATCCCATCATGGGAATAACCCACATCACAACAGTTTAAACCACACAGAATTGTGGTCCAGCCAAGTTGACACACAGCTCCAACTATCACAACAAGGCAGAAGGTATCTCACTTTTCAGGATCCAGTCTCAGGAGTCATGTAACTTCATTCCTGCCATCCTGTATTGAGATACTCAAAAGCCAGCCCAATTTGAAGGGCAGGGAATGTAGAGCCCAGCTGCCTTTGGGAGACATGTCGAGGTCACATTGCAAGAGGAACATGGGGGATGGGAGCAAGTAGCGCAATTGTCTTTGGGAGACGTACTCAGCGTATCACTTCCTATCAGCCATCCATACAGCACTTTCATTCATTTCACTCTTGTCACTGTTGTCAGCTCCATCAAGTTGGCCCCAACTCACAGTGGAATGAAACGCCACCTGGTCCTGCGTCACCCCATCATCAGTGGTGCAGGAGGCTGGTAATCCATGGTGTTTTCATGGCTGATTTTCGGAAGTCAGCTGCCAGGCCTTTCCCTCTGGTCCACCTTAGCCCAGAAGCCACTGAAACCATCCAGCATCCTAGCAACACGCAAGCCTCCACCAACAGACGGGTGGGGCTGCCCACGAAGTGCATTGGCCGGGAATGGAACCCAGGTCTCTCGCATGAAAGGCAAGAATTCTGCCACTGAACCACTCATTAACTCAAACTCACTGCCGTTGAGTCCAATCCCACTCATAGCGACCCCCATTGGTTTTCCAAGGCTGCAAACCTTTATGGAAGCAGACTGTCTTCATCCTTCTTCCGTAGAGCGGGGCTGGTGGGTTTGAACCATTGACCTTTTGGTTAACAGCCAAATGTCTTCAGTACTATACCAGCAGAGACAATAATGAAAAAAAAAGTTGAGAAACATTGACTTAACCATATATTTTGAGGATAGTCCCATATCAGTCCATAAAAAAATTCCCCTTCATTTTCACAGCTACGTAATATTCCTCATGGAAATCCACCTCACTATATCAAATAATGCCCCATGGATGGATTTTTTTTTTTTAAATATTGTGTTTTCAGTGAAGGTTTACACACTTTAGGTTCCCATCCAACAATGTCTAGATCCATATGCAAATGACTAATGGCAGATCCTTTCTTCTAGCAGTTTTCTATAAGAGGAAGAGACTGTGGTCCCAAGGGCACCAGAGCCATAAATGAGGGGGCGGGAGGGGGCAGAGAGAATTCCAGAAATCAAGCTTCGCCTTCTGTATAAACTCACTCAGAGACTGGCTTGGAAAAATGCCTGCCCTGCAGTGCTGAATCAATATTATGACTGGGATCACTAAAGTCAAGCCAAACCAAACAAACGCCCTAAAAACCCCACAGAGAGTGGTTAGGAAGGAAATAAGAGAATCGCAGCAGCCAAGAGGGAGGTAATTATGCCAGTAACCAGAAGGATGGGGGAGTCCCTGGCTGGGGACCAAAAGGTCCGCTAACTGCAAGTTGGCTGTTCACGTCCATCCAGAGGCACCTGGAAGCAATGCCTGGCAACGTAATTGCAGAAACGTAGCCACTGAATCACCTACAGAGCAGAGTCCCACCCTGATACAGACGGGGTCGCCATGACTTAGCCATTGGATGCCCTGTGGACCACAGTCCCACCCCAACACATACAGGGTCACCATGAATCAGTGTCCACTTCAGGACAATTGGGAGGAAAAAAAAAACAAACAAACAGAGAGGACAGTTACCGTTGCATAGATTTCTCGTCTTGGTACTGTTGACACTTGGGGACAGGTGATTCTGTGTCTGGTGCACTGGAAGGTGTTGAGCAGCCAGTACCCCTGGTCTTCCCCCACTCAATGCCAGGAGCACCCCCACACACATTCAGTTGTAACCACCAGAAATGTCTCCCAAACCAAACCAAAGCAAAGTCCCCTCCATTGTGTCAATTCTGACTCATAGCGACCCTAGAGGACAGACTAGAACTGCCCCGTGGGTTCCCAAGGTTGGAAGCAGACTGCCTCATCTTAGCCCTGAGGAGCAACTAGTGGGTCCTTTTTGGTTAGCAGCCCAGTGCTTTAACCACAGCACCACCAGAGCTCCGAAATGTCTCCGGACATTGTCGGTGTCCCCCTGGGGGTGGCTGCTGTAACAAGGGCTAGTTTTGGATTTCTTCCATCCTACGGGGGGCCTGGCACAGAGAGGCCACGAGTGTCGTAGATTGGATTCCCACTCACAGCCACCCCGTGGGCGTCAGAGTAGAACTGGCCCACACCGTTTTCAGTGCCTGAGTTTTCAGAAGGCAATCAGCAGGCGTTTGCTCCGAGGTGCCTCTCGGCAGACTCGAACAGCCAATCTTCCAGTTAGCATGTTCACTGTTTGCACTACCTGGGCATTCATTAAATCCTCATTACACTAATCAACAGCAGCTGGTCCACTGAGAAACGAAAATCTGGATGTGAATTTCTTGAGCGTAGGCAGGGTGTTTTCATCATCGCTGAAAGCTAGCTTTGTGCCCGGTACACAGAAGGCTGGATATACTGAGAGCCCATTGAGCACCTACTGTGTACCAGGCAATTTCCCAGACACAGAGCATCCAGCAATGAACAAGACAGACTCTATCCTGGCCCCTATGATGTTCACAGGGAGCCCTGGTGGTAGGCACTGGTTAAGAGCTCAGTTGTGAACCCAAAGGCTGGCAGTTTGAACCCACTCAGCAGCTCCATGGGAAGAAGCCCTGGCAATCTACTCCCATCAAGAGGACAGCCTGGGCAGCCCGCGAGACAGCCCCACTCTGCTGCGTGGGCTCATGGGGAGTGGGAATCGAATCCACGCGTGGCACTACAGCAACAACAAGGCTGGAGAGGGAGTGACAAAGAGAACAACGGGCAAAGGACGTTTCAAACAGTGAGTCTGGTACTGTGATGAGGAGCAGGGTGGGTGAGAAGGGTCTCCGCTCTGAAGAAAAGCCCACAGGTAACTATCCAGAAGGAAGCCGTGTGCAGGAGTGCCTGCTGGCACGAAAGGTTAAGCGCTCAAAAGGTTGGCTATTTGAATTCACCCCGAGGCCCCTCGAAGACAGGCCTGGTGGTCTGCTCCTGAAAGGTCCCAGCCTTGAAAGCCCGTGGAGCAGTCTACTCTGCACACAGGGGCATGCCAGGAGGCGGAATAGACTCACTCGATGGCAACTGACAAGCTTTCTGGGGCAGGACGGGCATGGGGGCCCCTTCCAAGGGGAGTTTCCTGCAGAGGGAAAAGCAAGTGCAAAGTCAGGAGGTGGGGATAAGCATGGCTTCATTAATAACACTTGTTGACTAAATGAACAAGAGAAGGTTCTAGAAGGAATTGATTGTACGAATTTGGCCATGGAGGGCTTGGGGGATGGGTAGGAGGGTGACGGGATGGATGGAGGAAGGGCGTTCCCTTCAGAGAGAATGGCTCCAGACGAGGCTTGGGTGACCTGCTTGGTTCTGTTCTGTCCTGGGAGTAGACGAACCATCCGGGGCCTTGGGCTACCCTGGATCCGACATCCATCCGGCAACTCTGAAGATAAACCGTCGTGTAAGTAGGGGAGAGGTCAAAGCACAGCTGAGATACCCCAGACTTTGGCCTTTGCCCCCTGCTAACTGGAAAAGCACAAAACCCGAGATAATGGTCTCCCCTCCCCACCCCCGGCCCATCCCCAATGTTACTGGCCCTTAATCCTGTACGTTAGCTCTGCCCACCAATCAGCACCAGGGGGTGGGCTGGGAGCGCCAGGGACTATATCAGCGTCCTTGGGGGTGGTGACAGAGCCACTGAGAGAAGCGAGCTAGGCCCTGGAGAAGCTGGCATTGGGGGGTGGAAGGGTTGCCACCTCTGGGCCGAGACCTGGAAGTGACTGGAGGAAGAGCGAGGCTCATGAATGGGGATTTGACAGCTTTTGGAAAGGTGAGCTTACCCCCATTGAACAGATGGCAGTGCTGAGGCCCAGAGAGAGAAAGCCCAGCCTCAAATCCACCTCCAGTTGGGGTGACCCTCATCCTCTAGATACCCCAGCCTCCCAGGAGAGGGATCTCAAGGGCAATCGCGGGTGGCCTCAGAGGCTGTTCCATCAGCATCATGGGAATGGACCATGTTGATCTTGTTGGGTGCTGTCGAGTCCATTTCGATTCGTAGAGACCCCCCAGGCAACAGTGTAGAACTGCCTCATGGGGTTTCCTAGTCTGTAATCTTCACCAAGCCTTTCTCCTACGGAGCCCCTGGGGTAGGTTCAAGCCACCAACCTTTCAGTTAGCAGCTGAGAGCTTAGCCATTGTTCCACTGGGGCTCATGTTGATCTAGCACTTTCTAAAGAAATTGACTGCCATCCTATTGTTGACCTGGGGGCTAGGAGGTCCTCAGGGTGGTGGGTTCATGGGAGAGGGGGAGGACAGGAGGCCGTGTGTGACCCTCACGCCTGTCCCCTTCCCACCTCAGATGGCTTCCCTCGCCTGTCCCATGGGCCCCATGGACAGCCTAGAGCTCTTGGACCTCCTGTTTGACCAGCAGGATGGTGTCCTGAGACACGTTGAGCTGGGCGAGAGATGGGACCACCCCAAGGACCAGGTGAGGCCCCCACTCCAGATGCACCAGGCTGTAGCCGACCCAGAAAGTTCAGAATTCCCCTTGGTCTCCTCAGTCTTTATTCTCAGACTTGCTACTGCCTTGAACTACTCAATGCCTCCAAAGGGCAGGTGGCATCAGCTCTTCTTATGGGTAGGAAAATTGAGGCCCAGAGAGGGGCAAGAACTTGCTCAGAGTCACACAGCGATTTGGAATTGGGTTCAAACTCAAACACAGGGTTCATCTTGCCATGTGATGAAGCAGCCACTGCCTTGGCTGTGTGAAGCAACCACTGTGCTCAGGCTCAAGCTCAAGTTCCAGTTGGCCCTGGAAGGGAGGACTGTGAGCTCCGTCTTGCAGGAAGGACGGTCCTTCCTGATCCCCAGAGCCACACAGAGCATCTAGAGCAGAGGGGGTACCAGTCTGGAGATTGTTCTCTTCACTCCTGTTCCCACCCAGCAGGTCCAGCCGGGCCCCGACCCTGACGACTTCCTCACCTCCATCCTGGGCTCTGGAGATTCGGTGCCCAGCTCCCCACTCTGGTCCCCTGCGGCCAGTGACAGTGGCATCTCCGAAGACCTGCCCTCTGACTCCCAAGACACGCCTCCACAAAACAGACTTGCCATCACCCCTCCTGGCTGCCACACCACTGAGCCAGGCAAGGGGTTCTGTCCCTCGTATGGTCCTGACCCCGGACCCAGGACCCCAGGGCCAGTGACTCCAGTGCTGGAGGCCTCCGTGGCCATAGACCTGGGTAAGCTGTGCCGTGAGTCTGCCCATTTCTGTCAATGTTCTGCACACTGTACGCTTATAACTGCTACATGAGGTTAGAGCCGGAGTATAGCCCAGGGAGGCTGGCTCAGACACCAGGGACCACGCTGGAAACTCCAGGAGGCAAGGCTGTGTGTCCCCTGTCTTTATTCCCCCATACTTGGCTCATAGTAGATGCTCAGTAAAAGTGTGTGACATTTAGGGGCCCAGGCCTCAAGGTGCTCCCCCTGGAGCTGAGGAGGGGAGACCCATGCAGAGGACACCCCCAGAAGGTCAATCCTGTTACTCCAGGAGCACTGGCTAAGCAACCAAGGTGTATGAGGCACAGAAGCCCTGGCTGGGGATAGGTGGCCCCTGGGGCATCCTGTGTCCCTTGAGCCTTTCATTTGACATGGAATCTCTGGTACCATTGTAGAGTTGATGAGACTGAGGTTCGGAGACGTGCAGTGACTTCCCCAGGATCACACAGCTCAGCCCAGTCTGGCCTGTGTGCTCTTGAGCCAGGTGCCTGAGGGGAGGGAGTCGGGGGTGAATCAGACCTCATCTCTGCCCTGCAGGGGAGATAAGGCCTGGCTTCGATAACAACCACTCCCTCTGGGGTTGCCAGTGGGTTCCTGGGCAATGTCCCCACGCCTCTTTTGACCTTGTGGGACAGGCTAAGACGTACTCTTATGGATTTAAGTTGCCCTTTTGCAGCAAGGGGAAACTAAGGTACTGATTAGGGCTATCCGTTTTAGCTCAGTCAGGCCTTGGGCATCCCAAGTTCTGCTAAAAGGCAGACCTTCAAATGCTAAACATGTTGGGGTTCAATCAGCGAGCCTTCTTGGAGGAGGGGAGGGGAGAGCTGGGGCTCTATCAAGCCATTTTTGTGGAGGAGGAGATGGGAACTGGGACTCAATCAGGGTGTCTTCCTGGAGGAGAAGATGCGAGGTAGGGTTCAACCAGGGCATCTTCCTGGAGGAAGAGGAAGCTGGGGCTCAATCAGGGCATCTGCCTGGAGGAGGAGATGGGAACTGGGCCTCAATCTGGTTATCTTCCTGGAGGAGAAGAAGGGAAGTAGGGTTCAATGAGAGCATCTTCCTGGAGCAGGTGGGAGCTGGGGCTCAATCAGGGTGTCTTCCTGGAGGAGGAGGAGTGGGAAGCTGGGAGCTCAGGCCTCCCATCTGACCCCCTCTGTCTCTGTCCCCTCTGCCCTGGTCAGACATGTGGAGCCCAGGAGGATGCCTCTATCCTGAGGAGCAGACCAAGCTGTCAGACTCGCCCCCACGCTACAACCTCACGGTGAAAGAACTCCTCCTCTCAGGCAACAGCGGGGACCTGGTGAGCATCCATCTCCCCACCCCCCCAGAGCGGTGGAGCTCCAATCAATGCTCCCATTACAGAGGTCATAAAGCTGAGTCACAGAGAGGGGCTGGGATTCGCCAGTCACACCCGAAACAAGTCAGTGAGCCCCCTTCCTTGGTTCTCCATTTCCTGGGCTGGGCCACGACTACTAGTAGTGGCTGTTGTTGGCTGCCGTCAAGTCGGCCCCAACTCATGGTGCCTCGTGCACAACGGAGCAAACCCTGCCCAGCCTTGCACCATCCCCATGATCAGCTGAGGCTTGGACCGTAGTGATCCACAGGGTTTTTGTTGCATGGTTTTCTGAAGACAACAGCCAGGCCTTTTTTCCTAGTCTGTCTTGGTGTGGAAGATCAACATCCTAGCAATATGCAAGCCTACACTGACACGTAGGTGGTGGCTGCATGTGAGATCACTGGCTGGGCACTGAACTGGGGTCCCCCATATGGGAGGCCAGAAATCGGCCCCTGCACCCCTGGGGCCCCCTTGGCATGCAGTAGGTGCTCAATAAATGGTGGCTGAATGAGCGAATAACCTTGTCCCTACACCATTTTGTGCATTCATAACTGTATCTGAAGCATAATTTCCTGGAGGCAGAATTCCTGGGCCAAAGGGCTGTGCACTGGTTTTTTGGGTTCTGTTGCCAGTGGAGATTCTGCACTGGATTGATTGATCATTTCTCAAATTGGATGCTTTTCTTATTTCCTGGAGGCTCAGCTGCGGCGGCTCAGGGCTGTGAGTCTTCCCACCTCCACCTCACCTGCCCTGGTTTCTCCTTAGCAACAGCATCACCTGGCAGCTCCCCACCTGCTGCGACCTGGACCTGGGCACTGCCAGGAGCTGGTATTGACAGAGGATGAGAAGAAGCTACTGGCCAAAGAAGGCATTACTCTGCCCACCCAGCTGCCCCTCACCAAGGTGAGTCGGCGGGATCCTGGCTTTGGACCGCTCCCTGTTCCTTAGAGCTCCCTACCCATCTTTTTGTCGGTGCCGTCGATTTGACTCTGACTCATAGTGACCCCTTGTGGCAGAACAGACCTGCCCCACACGGTAGGGGGCTGTCATCTTTACAGGAGGAACCCTGGTGGCACAAGAGTTAAGCGCTTGGCTGTAACTGAGAGGTCAGTGGTTCAAACCCACCGGCTGCTCCGTGGGAGAAAAGACGCGGTGACCTACTCCCGTAAAGATGACTACCAGAAACCCCATGGGGCAGTTCTAGTCTGTCACACGGGGTCACTGCAAGTCGGGATCGACTTGATAGCGCTCAACAACTCATCTTCGTGGAAGCAGGTTGCCAGGTCTTACTCCTGCAGAACTGCTGTGTGGGTTCAAACCGCCAGCTTTTCAGTTACCAGCTGAATACTTGGCCATTACATCACCTTGACACCCCCTTCTAGAATGTTAGTGCATCTGTCATCAGAGCCACACAAACTAACCTCATCCTGAAAGCCAACTCAGAGAGGAGAGGGCAACGCTTAACACCACTGAATGAACGGAGGTGTTGGGAGCCATCTCGTGCTTTTACACTTTATCATACCTCCCCTTAGGAGCTCTGGTAGCATAGTGTCTAAGGCATTTGACTGCTAACCAGAAGGCTGGCCGTTCAAAGCCACCAGCCACTCCTCCGAAGGATGGTTGGGCAATCTACTTCCGTAGTGATACTGCCTTGGAAACCCAAGGAAGGGTCACTATGAGTCAGATTCAACTTGATGGCATGGCGGTGAGGTGTTTTTTTTTTTTTTTTTTTCCCCCATACCTCCCCTTAGGCCAAAGCTCATAAACTGGGAGGCCTGAAGGCCAGGCATGTCCCGAGGACCTGTTTTGATTAGACTCTACTACATGGTATAAATGTTTGGATTGGTTGCTATTTTGGTTACCTAGTGCCGATCTGACAAGATCATACCACAAATGGAATGGCTTTAACGAACAGTTTACTCTCTTACAGTTTGGAGGCTAGAAGTCTGAGTTCCAAATGCCAGGCTCTAGGGTCTGGGTGAAAGCCCCTCAACCGTGGGCTTCAGCTCTGCCTCCTGCTCCCGGCCCACTGGAGCTGGGGCTTCTCTTCACTCAGGCAGCTGCTGGCTGCTGAGGCTGACAAACCCAAGATCAACAAGTGAAAAGGCACAATCCCAATGTTATCAAACCACATGGCAGGCCATTGATTCAAGTCCATTAAAAGTCCCAGGATCAGCAGAGCATGGCAGGCTGCTGAACAAAGATTTGGTTACAAGCAGGGTCCAAATGTTCCAGAAAGCTAGAGACCTTCCTCAAAGCATCTTCTTATATAATGGAAGCAGCCCACATCCCTAAAGCAGCCACTCAGCTCCTCCAGTAGATTCTACCATGGAGTTAATTACCAGCCTCACCCTGGGTAATAACTACATCCAGCTGCCCAGCCACTCAACCAGGTCGAGCCAAGCTGACACATAACCTTAACTACCACAGTTGCTAACATCTTTCTGACCAGATTTCACATAAGAATTCAGGAACTGTGGACTCTGTTCTCATATTCCCACATACCCACATGGTGATAACAAATGGCTGAATATGAGCTTTGGCTGCCTGGCTCTCCAGTCTCCACCCTGTCTACTTCACTATCAAACCCCTGTTTGAAGACGTTAAAAAGCCGCTTGCCATCAAGTTGACCCCAGCTCACAGTGACGTACTGTGTGTCAGAGCAGAACTATGCTCCATAGGGTTTTCAGGGACTGATTTTTCAGAAGTAGATTGCCAGGCCTTTCTTCTGAGGTGCCCCTGAGTAGTCTTGAACCTCTAACCTTTCAGTGAGCAGTCAAGCGTGTAAACCGTTTGCATTACCTAGGCTTAACACTGGCTGAAAGAGCCCTGGTTAAGGGTTCAACTGCTAACAGAAAAAAAGTTGGTGGTTTGAATCCACCCACCAGCTCTGCGAGAGAAAGACCTGGCTGGCTGCTCCTGTAAAGATTACATCCCAGAAAACCCCATGGAGCAGTTCTGCTCTATCATGTGGTGTTGATATGAGTCAGAATCAACTGGACGACGATATTGGCTGATCCTTGGGAGAGGTGCTGTTCCCAGATATGGCCTAAAGGTGGCGCAGTTGCACCAATGCCCACAGTCTGATAGTTGTTTGCCATCGAGTCGGCCCCGACTCATAGCGTCATATCATACAGTCTGATAAGCAGTTAATAATTGGGATGGGGAACAGGGAACACTAACAGAACCCAGGAGCCTCTTAGAGATTCTGCAAAAATTTAGGGACAGGAGACCTGGCCTTTGAGCCATCAGGAATCTGTTCCACCACCTCCCCCCCATTCCCTGGGTCTGGGTTGGCCCATGTGGGAAGAGAACAGCGTGAGGTTATGGGTTGAGTAGGCTACCCACACTGATGCCAGCCTCCTCTCCACTTTCCTTGGTAGTATGAGGAGCGAGTGCTGAAAAAAATCCGCCGGAAAATTCGGAACAAGCAGTCAGCCCAGGAGAGCAGGAAGAAGAAGAAGGAATACATCGATTGTCTGGAGACGCGGTAATGCTGGGGCCTGCATTCTCCACTCAGGGAGGAAACTGAACCGCAGAGGGGGAAAATGACAGGCCAAGGTCACCATTTTTAGGACTGGACAAAAGTAGAGTTGTTTTCTCTCTAGAAGAGAGCATTTCTCACATTGATTGCAGTGGGATAGAAAGATGTCTAGAGACGTGTTCTGGTTCCCTAGTGCTGCTCTGACAAGAAATATACCACCAATGGGATGGCCTTAACAAGAAGGATTTTATTCTTACAATCTGGAGGCTTTAAAGTCCAAGTTCAAAGTGCCAGGCTCGAGGGGCTGGGTGAAAGCCCCTCAACCTTGGGGTGCAGCTCTGCCTCCTGCTCCCGGCCCACTGGAGCTAGAGGCATTTCTTCACTCAGACAGCTGCTGGCTGCTGAGGCTGAGAAGCTCCAAGGTTAACAAGTAAAAAGGCACAGTCCCGATGATACCAAACCACATGGCAGGCCATTAACTTAAGTCCACTGTAAGTCCCAAGGTCGGCAGAGCATGGCAGGCTGCTGAGCAACGACACGGCTACATGCAGGGTCCAAGCGTGCCACAGGCTAGAGACCATTCCCAAAGCTTCTCCTTATATATAGGAAGCAGACCACATCCCAAAGGCAGCTACTCAGCTGCTTGTGGTAGATCCCACCATGGAGTTGATTGCCAGTCTCATCATGGGGAATAACTACCCCCAGCTACCCAGCCACTCAGCCAGGCCCAGCCAAGTTGACACACCAACATAACCGCCACAAGATGGTACAGGGCAAAGGTTTTGGAGTCCTTTTTGCCCTAGAAAATGTGGTGCCAAGAAAGGACAAGGTATTACCCACCCTGGTCTGACTCTTGGCCTGAAGGTGGGACCTGACTTTCTTTGTCTGAGCACTAACTGTCCTAAGAGCTGTCGTGGCTTCTTAGGGTCAAGGAGAAGGGGACAGACAGAGCTCATTCTAGGCAGAACTTTCTCACCTTAAAAACCATGCTCCCTGGTCTTATCCAATAACCTCTCTATTAACTCATTTAGGATACTGAGGGGATTGGCTCCTTTTTATTCTTTGAGAGCAACACAGGAAGTGAGCAAGCTCCCTCTTTAAGCCGAGAGTGACTCCATTGAATGGTATAGGTCTATTTGGATTTTCTATTTCTTGAGTCAGTTTTGGGATATTATAGTTCTCTGGGAACTTGTCCATTTCAAGCTTTTTGATGTCAAATAGTTCATAGTGCTGTCCTATTGTTTTTTAAATCTCAGATACCTGTTGTTTTGCCCTCTTTTTAATTCTTCATGTTGTTTATTTGTGCCTTTCCTTTATCTCTCTTATTTCCTTAATAAATCTTGCCAGAGCTTTGTCTATTTTTTTTATTCTTCTCAAAGAAAGTATTTGTGACTCCCTCCAAATATATTTTCGTTTTCTAGTTTATTCATTTCTACTTTTATCTTGAGTATGCCCTGCCTTTGTGTGTGAGCAGTTGGTTTGTTTTTGAGGTGGGGAGTGTGATTCTGTTGTTCTTTTGCTAACATTTAAATGTGTATGCACAGCTCATTGAACATTATTAAGACTATACATTTTCCTCTCAGTACTGCTTTAGCTTCATTCCATGCATTTTTATACCACTGTCACTGTAATTTGGTCCTTCCAAAAAATAAATAAATAAAAACCCTATAGCAATTGACTCAATTCCAATTCATAGTAACTTGCATTGTGTTTCCAAGGCAGTAAATCTTTATGGCAGTAGATTGCTCCATCTTCTTTCCATGGAGTGGGTAATGGGCTTGAACCACCAGCTTTCTGGTTAGAGGCCAAATGCCTTACCCACTACACCACCAGAGCTCCTTAACTTGGTCCTTAAGTATCCTCTAATTTATATTATAGAAGCTCTGGTAGCATAGTATCTAAGGCACTTGACTGCTAACCAGAAGTCTGGTGGTTCAAACCCACCAGCCAAGGACGATGGGGCAATCTACTTCTGTAGTGGTATGCCTTGGAAACTGAAGGAGGGGTTTCTATGAGTCGGGTCTGACTTGATGGCACACAACAACAACAATTTATATTATTAATTCCTCTTTGTCCTATGAGTTATTTAGGAGGGTCATTCAGGGGCGGAATTTATTCTCTTTCCTGGTTGCTATATGTTTGATCCACCTTCTGGAAAATGACCCTGGATCCTTCTGTACCTTCCTGGAGAACAGAGCTCTTAATTCCATTGGCTTCCCATGAAAAATGTAAATGTAGAATAGATCCAAGGGTCTTGAGTTTCAAGATAGGGGTTTGTCAAAGGGTTTCTCCTATGTGACACACAGTGAGAGCCCCTGGACTCACATCTCTGTCTTCCATATTCCATGCCCTCTGCCTTGAGGGTAGGGACCTGGCCCAGGGCCCACTTCATGGATATCATCATTTCCTGATTGAAGCATTTCAGCCCCATGTTTGAGGAGTCCAGGCCAAGACCACATTCAAGATAGATGCAGAAGGGAAAGGTGGGGTCCCCAGCCTGGACCAAAGAATCTTGGATGGAATTATCCCTACTGTCCTGTGCCTTAAGTGCAATCTGCCAAACCCATAATAGACTTCATCTCCCGTCATCCTCCAATCCATCCTATGAGCTCAGTAATCGTCTCCTCGTTTTATAGGTCAGAGAAGTGGAGTGGTTCAAGGTCATGGGCCGGGTCAGGACTGTAACTCAGGGCTCCTTGGTCTCCACTCACCCTGCTAGGTTGTCTTCTGGAGCCATCACTGCCTGAGTTTGGGATTCTATTCCCAACTCTGAGCCTTGAGAGGAATCCCCTTACCAATACAAAAATGGGAGCCAGGCTGATCTGAGTTCAAATCCCAATCCAATCACAATCTTTCTGGTTGAACTTGGGCAAGTGACTTCCCCTTTCTAGCCTTGGGTTCCCACACAGGGGGCTGCCAGTTGGGCCAGCTGGTGATGGGCATCCATTAACTGTCACCATGACCCTGTACCTGCAGGATGTCTGCCTGCACTGCCCAGAACCAGGAGCTACAGAGGAAGGTATTACATCTCGAGAAGCAGAACCTGTAAGTTTGGTCCTTGGGCAGAGGGCAGGGAGGGTCAACCCTGGAGTCCCTCACAGGAGGGGGAGACATGAGGAAAGCCTTGTGGTGTCAGGACAGAGTAGGGAGTAACAGCTTGTGACACTAGGAAGGTAGAAGCTGCATAGAAGAGAGGATTAGGACTTGGGGCATTGAAGGATGCATAGGAGTTCACTGGGGGAGGCAACTCCTAGTGGAGGAAATGGTATGTGCAAAGGCCCTGAGGCTAGATATGTTGAAGAGCTGCAAGGGATTCTGTCTCAGGAGTGTATTCATTTAGTCGCTATTTCTAGAGCAGCCCCTCTGCACCAGGAATAGTGCGGGGCATTGTGAGCATTTTGTTGTTGTCATTTGCCATAGGGTCAAGTCTGACTGCTGGCGACCCCATGTGTGCAGACTAGAACTGTGCTCCTTACGGTTTCCAAGGCTGGGACCTTTTGAAAGCAGATCACAAGGCCTTTCTTTTGAGGCACCTCTGGGTGGCATTTGAACTGCCAACCTTTGGGCTAGTAGTCAAGCAATAACCATCTACCTCACCCAGAACCATGGACAAAGCATTCACTGCAGGAAGCAAAACACACCTAATCCCTCCATCCTAAACAGCTCACAGTCCAGTGGGAAATACACTTGAGGCAAAAAATATACAGTAGATAATTCAAATAGCGACAGACACTTGAAAGACATAAAACAGGGTGAAGGGCAGAGTGATGGGGGCTATTTTCAACAAGGAGGTCAGAGAAAGCTTCTTGGAGGAGGGGGCACTTGAGATGAGACATGATGAATGAGAAAGAACCAGCTACACAAAGGCCTTGGGGAACAGTGTGCTTAGCAAAGGGAACAGGCTGTGCAAAGACCCTGGGGCAGAGCTATGCTTCTGTGTTAGAACAGCTAGAAGGCCTGTGTGGCTAGAGCGGAGGAGGAATGGGAGGAGGAGGAGGCAGGAAGGTGATGGGGCAGGTCACAGGGAGCCCTGAAGGCCACAAGGTGGTCTTGGGCTATTACCTGGAGTGAGGTGGGAGCCCCAGGAGGATGGGAAGAGGGAGGGGCTGACTCACATTTGAAAAGCACCCTTGAGCTGCTGTGTGGAGTATGAACTCTAGAGAGTAGGAGAGGCCTGGGGGGCAGACATCTAGGAGACCTGCACAGAGGAAATGGGAATGGAAGAAGAATGAGCAGAATGTGCAATGAGGATTTGTTGAAGCAACAAGGTGGTTGGAAGATGGGTGGGATTCAGATATCAGAGAGGCTGGGGGGGAGGGCGGTGATAATGGGCAGGAAGCTGGACCAAGGCCCTCAAGGGCTCAACCAAGGCCTGCCTGTCCCTCCAAGGTCCCTCTTGGAGCAACTGAAGAAACTCCAAGCCCTCGTGGTCCAATCCACCAGCAAGTCTGCACAGGCGGGCACCTGCATAGCGGTGAGTCCCAGCACCCAGCCCAGCTGCACCCAGGACAGATGGGGTCTCAGGTCTCAGAGGAAGGGGGTAGAGGAAGTTGAACAGAAGCACAACCAACCTCATGCCTGAGCTCAGGCATGGCCGGGTCCCGGCCTCAGTGTCCCTGCCTAGGACATGCACATGCTCACAGGGGAGGGGGTGGGATGGGTGACCCCGCCCCCATCTCCACCAGGTCCTGCTGCTGTCTTTTGCCCTCATCGTCCTCCCCTCCATCAGCCCTTTCACCTCCAACAAAGACAAGAGCCCTGGAGACTTCGCACCCGTGCGAGGTATGCATAGCACTTAAGCACAATCCTGGGACCCCAGGAGAGGGGCAGGAGACCCCAGTCACTCTTCCGTGTGGTTGGAGGGTGGGGACAGCCTCACCCTGCCCTTTGTGACCCCTCAACCCTTTTCCAGTCTTCTCAAGAACACTGCACAACGACGCTTCATCCCGTGTGGCCCCAGACACCACACCGGGGTCCGAGGCTCCAGGACCCCATCCGGAGGCTGGCCTACCCCAAGAAGGGTCTCCAGGCAGCCCCGGGGCAGACTGGGGCTCCAGAGACATGCCAACTCTGGACAACTCAACGCTGGTGTTGGGCAACTCCACGCTGGCGCTGGACAACTCGACACTGGTGCTGGGGAACTCCAAGGAGGTGCTGGGTCCGGCCTCCCTACTGGGCTGGGCCGCACCTGAAACAGGGCATAGCACAGGGCGCGTGGGGCTGGAGGCGGCGGGGGAGGAGCTGTGATCACCGCCAGGACTGTGCCTCACACCCCTCTGTCCAGGAGCCTCCAATGGACAGTGACGAGCACGGGACCAGAGGTGAGGCAGAAACCGCACAGAGATGCCCAGAGGGGCATACCCAAACTCACAGCTATGCACCCAGGGACTGACAGACACATGCAGCAACTCCCATGCCGACACAGGGCAAAAACAGCCACAAAGCCTGGGAAGTATACCAACAGACCCAGGAACAGACAGACAAGCAGACATGTGCTGAGTGAGGCAGAGACCCTAAGGACACATGTAACACACACACATTTACACACGCACCTGCAGACTGACAAAGTCACTCACACAGTTACACACAGAGACACAGTTAAACACACAGACACACAGTTAAACACACAGACACACAGATGCATGCAGACACACACACCCATTTATGTACATCCACAAACTGACAGTCACTCGGGGACACACGTAAACCAAAAACAAACCCAACCCATTGCTGTAGAGTCAGACCCGACTCATAGCGACCCCTCTTCGGGTTTCCGAGGCGTTATCACTACAGAAGTAGATTGCCCAACCTTCCTTCTGAGGAGTGGCTGGTGGATTTGAATCACCAGTCTTCTGGTTAGCAGTCAGATGCCTTAGGCACTACGCCACCAGAGCTCCCTGGACACACATATACAATTATATACTCACACATAGACACACCCTTACTGACACACAGAAACACACATATACACACCAAGACACAATTACACACTCACATATATACACTCGGAAACACACACACATATACATACACACAGGGACACTATACAGACACACACACACCCCAGATGTGTGAGCAACCCCCCCACCTCGACCCCTCCCTGCCACCTACATACACAGGGAGGAGGAGACTGAGACTGCAAGGATTCTGGCCCCAGAGAAGGGGTGAGCGCTGGACTGTTCAGGGGCCAACCCATAACTGCCCCCATTTTGTAATATTGCCATGACCCCTAATAAAGTATTTTGACAGAACGTGGCTGACGCTGAAGCAGAAAGGGGTAGGGGTTCAAGCGGTGTCTAGGGCTTCCTTACCTCAGAGGGAGGGGCTGGACCAGCCCGGGAAAGGGGAGCATGGTGCGGGATCCCTAAACTGCAGCAGTGGTCAGGGAGGTGACAGGTTCAACTTCAGCACCTCGGAGAGCGGTCATGCGAGGCGAGCAGGGCGCGCCTGGAGCGCGAGGACTAGCGGCCTGAGGGGGTGTGTACGAGGGGGCCCGTGGCAGGTTGATGGAGCTGCCTTTTTTGGGGGATCTGGGATGCCCAACTTGCTTGTTTTACGTAAGAGGAAACGGGCATGGAAGGTAAGACCTGCCAAAGGTCAGACAACAGAGAAGGGATGGAACTCAGCTGGCCTGCGCCTGAGCGCCACTTTTTTTTTTTTTTTTTAATAAAATAAAAAAAGAAAGTGTTGTTGAGAATCTACACAGCAGAACATACACCCATCCAACAATTTCTCCACGTACAGTTAGTAACATTGATGGCATTTTTCAAGTTGTACAACCATTCTCACCCTCCTTTTCCTGTTCCTCCATCAACATAAACTCACCGCCCCCTGAGCTTCCCATCTAGCCTTTCCAGCTGTTGCGGTCAATTTGATCCCATATAGACAGTTCTTAAAAGAACACAATATTCAAGGCAGACATAGGTTACTAGTTAAGACAAACGATTGGTTTAAAGAAAACTTCCGGGGATTTTTTAGTTTAAGGTTTAAAGACTATCCCAAGGCAGTTTTTTTTTTTTTTTTTTTGGGGGGGGGGGGAGTGCAGAGCAGTTCATCCAGCCTCCATGGCTCCACAAAGTCTGAATTCCACAAGAATTTGACTTTCTGTTCTGCATTTTCCCCCTTTTGATCAGGATTCTTCCTTAGAATCTTTGATCAGAACATTCAGTAATGGTAGCCAGGCACCACCCACTTCTTCTGGTCTCACAGCAAAGAAGGCAGTTGCTCCTGGCTGCACTATGCTCTTAACATGTCACTCGCCAGTCTGCTATGTGCAGGCTTGACTGAAACACACCCAGCCTCTCCCAAATGGCTCACAGCCTAGTTAACAGAATGCGGTTCTTAAACAAGAAACCATGCAGGTAACTAATAGGTGGGATTGAGAAATGCCAGTTGCTGGTATTATCAGTGACAACTCATCTGATCCTGGGGATAAGCCCTTCTTCTTCATCCCAGGTTGCAGCAGGTACAGCAGCATTACATCAGGAGCAGGGGCAAAGAGGATCATATCCCCCCTATCTCCCAGGGCCTAGGACCCAACACAAGGTCATGGATATTAAGCACAGACTCGAATGCAAGAAGTTAGTTCTGCTTTTATTGCATTGACGACTTTCCTGGAAGCCAGGCGGACCCAGTTCCCTCCCTCCAGCCCTAAAGGCCCCCGCCGCCCCTATAGTCGGCCCCAACCCCAGGCCTGGGCCCCTAAAAGATGGCTCCGCCTCCCTCAGGGTCTGTGAGAGGCCTCAAGGCTGACAGATCAGCAGCTGAGGAGGGGCTGGGGGCAGTGAGGGTTACAGGGCGGAGGGCCAGGAGGCAGAGTTCCTGTTTACGGTGGAAACCCAAAAGGCCCACCCCCACCATCTCCTCAGAATGTCCCGAGGCTCAGAGCAAGTAGGTGCCTGCGGTGTCAGGTCCAGGATCAAGGTCTGGAGAGGAGGCGTTCCTTCTCACACATCCCCAAAGACAATGGGAGCCGCAACAGAGAGCAAGCCTGCCCTGGGGCCTGGAGCCCAGCTCTCAGTGCCTTGTGGTCCCCAGAGGCCAGACACAAGTTACAAAACAGATAACCCCGTTTCTTACAAAAATCCCCCCCTCCCCGAGCACCCTGGTCAGCTGGGGACCTCCTCGGCCTTCACCCTTTTGGGGGGCCTGCAGAGAGCGGGCGTGTCCAGTTGATGCCGCTTGAGGCCGGTGGGCCCGGAGCCGTTGTGCTGGGAGGAGGGCTCCTGCTTGGGGCTGGGGGACGCTGGGGCGTAGAGCCGGGTGGGGGCCTCCTCCTTGGGCTCGAGCTTGGGGGCGGCTGGGCGCGGTAGAGGTGGCAGCGCCCTCTCCAGCATGCAGGGTCCGTCCCAGGTGGGGATCTCCAGCCCCAGGTGCTTCATGAGCTGCGTCATGACGTCATCCACGTAGCCGTGGATGCGCAAGTCGGCATGGCGGTCCTGCGGGGCGAAGGCAAGTCAGAGGGCGTCTGGGGACCCGGTTGGACCTCGGGGGTGGGCTCAGGAACCTACGTGCTTGGTGGGCTGGAGGTTGACGATGACCAGCCTGCCGCCCCGGCGCTTGGTGGCCAGCGGTAGGTTCCCGCTGGGCCGGATTTGCAGCGAGGTGCCCAAGGTGATGGACAAGTCGGCGTTCCTGGGCCATGGGGAGCAGGGGAGTTAGGCTAAACCTCGGCAGTCCTCCAGCCAGCCCTAGGTCAAGTCCCATGGCTTCCCGGCATTCTTTGCACTCCTTGCCACCCCCCCACACACACACCCCGCTGACGTGAGCACTCAGGCCCGCCCGCCTCCAGAGCCAGGTTTCTGAGCTGCCAGGGTCCTGGATCCCGCCCCTCAGCCCGCCAGGCCACCTCCCCGCTGCTGACAGAAAGCCCTGGCTGCAAACGGGGTCTTAAGTCCTATACGATTCACAGAGCATCAGGAAAAGCAGCTTGGACTCCTGCGTTCAACTCCTGGCCTTGTCCCTGGCTGGCTGAGTAGCCAACTAGTCACCGTGCTAAGCCTCGGCTTCCCCACCTGTCAAATGGGCCAATGAGCACCCACCAAGGGTTGTGGTGAGGAGGATGCACATGAAGGCCCTGGCACAAGGCCGGTGTGTGACGGGGCTCAGGACCTAGGAGCTGCAGTTACATATATGAGGGCAGCGATGGCTCCGTGGTAGAGGTCCCGCCTTCCATGCAGGAAGCCTGGGTCCGAGTCCCAGTGGACACATCTCATTAGCAGCCACCACCCGTCTGTCAGTGGAGGCTGAGATGCTGCACTAGTTTCAGCAGAGCTTCCAGACTCAGACAGACTAGGAAGAACGGCCTGGGGATCGACTTCCAAAAACCAGCAAGAACCCTACAGAGCGCAGTGGTGTGCTCCACAACTGACCACGGGATGGTGCAGCTCCCCACAGCAACAGCTGCTGTTGTTGGCTGCTGTCGACTTGACCCCAGATTCACGGCAATCCTGTGCACAACTGCTGTTACTATGGGGAACTGAGGCCCAGTGAGGGCCACCTCCTCCAGGAAGCCCTTCTTGGCTGCTGCCTCTGTCTCACTGTCTCCTGCCCTGTGCCTGTTTCCACCACCTCATCAGGGGTAGGGGCTTGGGGGGTCAGACCTGCTGGCCTCGTCAGCAAGGGTGAGGTCTCGGTCAGGCAGGGCATCCTCCCAGTCCAGGATAGTGTCTCGCAGCGCCCCCCTGCGGTGGTGAGGATGAAGGAGTCGGCAGAGCTCCTACCTGGGGTCCGTGATGCAGGGCATGTGTGTGGAGGGTCACTCACCTGCAGGCCCGCAGTCCCCTGGCCTTGGCCACGGTGCAGAGCCGGCCGGTGGCCTTGAGGCCCATGGTGCCTACCACTGTGTCCCGGACGTACTGCCTGTGTGGGGGAGGGGAGACATGGAGCCCTCACTGCAGCCATCAGCCTGCTCCCCGGAGGCCCACCCTGCAGCCCCACCCAGGAGGCCCTTGCTCCCTTTGTGGAAAGGTTCTCCCAGGGGAGCCAGGGCTATACATCAGCATCTCAGCCTAAGGAAACTCCTGGTAATCACAGAACATGGGACCTTCCAGGGAACAATTGGGCTGGAAGTAAAGGAAACTTCCAGATAAGAGATTAAGGAAACTGGACAGTGAATCTAAGTCAGGAGTTAGCAAACAAAAACAAC